ACACACTTTTGATAAACATCTAATAATTCGTTTTGAAGAATTAGTCGAGAGGAAACTCACCTTAAGAGTGTGAAGATGATTATGAACTTCCTCCTTTATTAAGTGATTAAAGTCTCCCTTTAATGACTTGCTAGATGATCATTTATTCTCTCATCTTTCTTCTTCCAAAAACCCATCATCAAACATGATCCTCCTTGGAGTTGCACTCCTCTTCCATTTCGTCAATTTGTGCTTTCTTATCTTGCTTCTTATGATTTCCATTAAGTTGAATCATATCTTCAATGTAGCCTCTTGATGAAAATGAGTTGAGGAATGTGGATGAGTGCAAGTAAGGTGGACTTGCAACTCAGTCCATTCTCACATTTTCCTTCTTTCTAGAGTGTCCCCTTTCTTATATAATTACATGCCATAAGACTTTCTTGCTCTTCACTTAAACCTATGAAATCTCCTAAATGCCCTTGCATCCCTTGTTAACTCCTAATTGATTCTTAGTCTTAATTACAAGGATTAGTGGCTTTAGCATACTCTTAACCCTATTAAATATTAACTTGTTAATATACCATGTAAGATCATCGAGAATTGACCAAAATATCCTTTATAATAAAACAACAAAATTACCCTTTATCCTCTTGATTCCTTTAACTTACAAATGAGTGCATTCTTAAATCAAAAGCTTAGGCCGGGATATTTCAAACCCTCTAAAGACAAAATGATCTTAGTTATCATAAATTCATCATCTATGTTATTGTCTGTCTTAATTGCAAACATTGAATATGACAACTATATAACAATAACAAAGGCATCTTATCTTATCCATCAAGGTATACATACATAAATTCTAAATTACAAGTTGAGACCCACATCAATTTTTAATCAATAATAATTGACTCCCACTCGAATATATTCCATCCTAATGGTGGGACCTTAAAACCATTTTGTTCATTGTTTAAAGGCCTAACTTTGGTCATGATACAATGCAACATCATATAAAAAGAGAAATTATATGACGGTGTGGTGGCTCTAGTAGATATGATTTCTTGTTGCCAGTTGTTGAAAAATCTAAAAAGTGATCAAAATATAGGTAGGATAATTAATGGATTTGATTATCAAAACCGTGATAATGAAATAAAGCAAACTTTTGTGTTGTATATTGATCCACTTTTTAAATCACATTGTTTGTATCATATACATATTCACTTTTTTCCGTCTCTTCCTAACCAAGTTTGCTTGTCTCTTCAAGACACTTCTTAAGGTAAGGTCCTCAAATTACACCATAAATACATTAGTGTACAATTCTTAGGTGGAATTCAGCATGGAAAATGAGAAAATTACAAGCAAGGAAATGAAAGTGGAGATTCCATCAAGTACTGTTGGAGGTTCAAATGTTGGACAAGGTGGTGGACTTATGAGACAACCTAGTATGACCAAAACTAATTGTCTATGTTCACCAACAACACATCCTGGTTCATTTCGTTGTAGGCTTCATCGTACTCCTAGTCTCCAAAGAACCAAAAGTATGGAACCAGGATCATCAGTCTCTGATCAGTGATCTACATCAGATCATGGTTCTATTATTGATGCTGACAAGGATAGGATGCATTATTATTCTATTGAATTTTATGTTCAATGTTATTAAGATGCTATGGTTATTTCTATTATGTATAAATGTATATTGTTCCAAAATCCATGTTGATCTCTCAGCATTTTGAATAAGAGTTCTTTCATTGATTCTAAATCTGAACTATGAAATTGAGAAATTTATGTTTTTTCTTTTTGTGTTAGTCTCTATGTATTTTTCTTTTGTTTTTTTTAAATAATTTCTTGGATAAGAAAAGGTGAATTTCTTGGGTTATATGTGATTATGTGAATCTTGTACTAACAAATAAGGATATGTAAGATGAAGTGAACAGTTTGTTAGAAGTTATAACTCAATCCTTTGTATGTAAGTTAGTATTTGATGTTCAATTGTGTCGAAGTAGTGTGTCAAAGTAATTGTAGAGTTTGCTGTATTCGATTATATCAAATACAGTAGATAGTTGAGTCTGTCAAAATGTACTTTATATGTTTTAGGTTTGGGGTGTATGTTTTGGGATTGGACATTGATTTCCTATAAATAGGCATGTTATGTTGTAATTCATAATAGTTAATACAGTTGAATAACACTCTCTTCAGTTTACTGTTTTCTCTCATTTTTCTCTTCTTCTTCTCTCATATTTCATGAAAACGCTTTTGTTCTAACAAATTGGTACCACAGAGCTCGGGTTGCGTTTCAGAGAGAATTTGAAATGACAAACGAAACAACAACATCAACGCAATTTTCAGCAAATCAACTAGTTTTCAAAGCTGAGAACTATGAGAGGTGAGTTGCGTAGATGAAGGTCATCTTCAGATTTCAAGATGTGGTTGAACTCGAGAATGATGGAGTACCAGCATTGCAGCAAATGCATATGATGAACAGAAGGTGGCGCACAAGAATAAAAGGAAGAAAGATGGAAAAAACTGTGTTCTTGATTTCCAGGTGTATGGATCCTAACGTGTTCGAGAAGATTATTGAAGAGGAACGACTAAGGGAGTGTGGGACAAGTTGAAGAACTTGTACGTCGGAGATGAAAATTTGAAAAAAGGGTGAAGTTATAAACCTTGAGAAAGAAATTCGAGATGACTCAGATGAAGGAAGATGAATCAGTCTCAAAATTCTTTTCATGTGTGGTGTTATTGACGAACCAGATGAAGGTGTGTGGTAAATCAATCAACAATTTGCAGAAAATTGAGAAAGTGTTGAGATTTCTGACTGCAAATTTTGATTACATTGTAGTGTCAATTGAAGAGTCCATGAACCTAGCTGAGATGAAGTTAGAAGAACTTCAATCTTCATTAGAGGCTCGTGAGATAAGGTTGAAGTTGAGGAACTCTTAAAGGGAGAAGGTGGGTGAAGGCGAAACAGAGAAATAATCTTTCTAATGATGAGAAGTCAAATAAGAATTCAAAGAATTGCTCTGATTCAACAAAGAAAGACATGAGCAACAAGTACTTGTTGGACTTGAGACTTCACACACAAGAGGGGAGTGAATTGTGTGGTTAGGCCAAACATGGTTTTGAAACTTTTTGAGAATAAAATCAGAGTTTAAAAAACATTTTCTAAAACCTAATATCAGAGTCTGAAAGAGGTTTTCTATAACTTAGTAATGGAATATAAAAGTATTTTAAAAGTAAAGTGTGAAAAGTAAAAAGTTAAGGGAAAAGAAGAATTCCACGATGTATAGAGTTTCAGTCAAATCAAAAGGACCTACTCCTCTCCCCAAGATAGGGTCTTGAGAGATTCAATTATATACTTGAGAGCTTTTAGTATGCAAAGCTCGTGAATCCCCCTTATACAAGAAAATGGTGGTTGTCCTACAACCATGATAAAACATGACGTAAGATATGATTGTTTGCGTCTTCTCTATTGTTCATACTGAAGTGGTAAGGCTTCCTTCTCAACTATAGATTGATGTGATTAAGCTTCTCTCCATGAAATATTTGAACTCAATATAGTTTAACAGGATAACCATTAATCTCTTGAAATTTTAACAAACTGCTCTTCTAACCTATAGTTTTATAAGGGCTAATCATGAACCTAATGGTAAGTTCATCAATATTGAAGAATCGCATCCTTCAAATAAACAAGGCCTTATAATGATCTTCAACATAACTAAATATCAAGAAATGATCACACAATCCCCAAAAGAAACTTTTCACAGGTTTAGCTTTGAACCACATATTTGTATCTCTAAAATGGATTGTGTTCATCCAAGATGCATAAATAACAACCTTGAAGAACTTTTATATTGTTATCCATCCAGAACTACAACAACATCTCACTCATAAGAACTCAAGGACGTGTCAATCTAATTGATTGACGCTTTGTGTTAATCGATTAGATCCCATCAAAATAATTTTTCTGGCTTTTTAAATATTCTCATTACTCTCTAAGCAACTTCTATATATTTATTTAAAGTATTTTCTTTTTAAATACATTTTATATAATGGTTTTAAGTGTGTGTGTGTGTGTGTGTGTATGTGTGTGCGCGCGCTTATATCTAACTACTTCTAACAAGAAAGACTTTTGCGTTTATAAAAGTTTCACTCGCTTACTAAATTAGGATAAATTCCTAAGCATGTGGCTGATGTATTCATTATGTTGACACCTTGTTTGATATCTCTTTTTTTAGGTTTTGTGATGTAATCTACTTGTTTGCCTTTATTTGAAGCTTTGTTCTGTTCTGAACATTTTTCGTTCATTTATAAACTAAGACTTTGGCGATCCTCTATCAAACCTATGGTTTGCATCTTTGACTTTAAGTACACTGGTTTACTTTCTTTACATTTTTACTCTACGTGATGTTATATTTTCTTGTCCTTTACAGTTGTCATCTTTGCATCTTTATCATGCAGATTATATGTTTTCTCCTTTATATTAAAAAAAAACTTGTTGCATCCTCAATATGTTGAATTGATATTATGTACTTTGAAGCATCTTTGTCACGCTAAAGAGTTGTCATCATCAAAACAACAACCTATTACCTACAAAACAAGGTTTCACATTCTCCCCCTTTTTGATGATGACAACATATCTCTCAGAGATGTGTTAAAATATATTGATCTTACTGATTGATCAGAACCTAAAAGTGGGTCGAAGGATGACGTCTACCGGGATGGAAAGTTGAGGAGAGGAGGGGGTGTGCCTGCAAGGCACTCCGAGGATCAAGTAAGAATGGGTGCAAAGAGAAACAAGAAAGACATTAGGGTTTATAGTGTGAATATTCAACACCTGGCCCGCACATGTTTGAGGGTTTATATAATGCCCCTGACACTTGGCCATTGGTCCTTATTTTTGGGCCTAGATATTCATGTCCTCAAAAATAGGTAACTGCTAGGACTTGGTCAAAACGGACAGTCGTGCTTGTAAGTAGTCGTTGCTCCGAGCACGAAAGGGATTACTGGCAGAAATGTTTAAGTGTTTCATGGATGTCTTCTCTACGTGTGTCAAGAAGACTGAGAGGTAGCTGCCCGCATGGGCCGGTGTGTGTCTCGTCCACCGTTGGTCTTGCCTCTTGAGGGGCGTGGTCGGCCAGGGATGTTGGTCCAACGTTGTTGGGTCATGCCAAAGGTAGAAGCGGATTGGGCCAATTCTAGTCATTGGGCCAGTCCAGAAATGGAGCCCCCCAAGTCGTTACTCCTAGGAATGGGATTGATGACTTAGAATAATCCTGCGAGGGGTCAAGAACGCTCTAGGATGCGCTCGGGGCAACTGCGTCAAGGAGCCCAAACATGGTCTTTTTGTGTTCGACGCGCGGGGATCTAAATGGTTGATTGGACTTTGAGAGGTAGAGTTCCACACTTGCTTTTATCCACATATCGTCAAGCGTGTAATGATGGCTACTCTAGGAACTAGGGCGTAATGATGACGCCACTTAGGCTTCCCTAGGTGCGTGTCCGCTCACGTGCCAACAAGCTTCTTTATAAAAGGGGGAGATGGAGCTTTATTTTCATTTTTTGCTTGCTCTTTTTCTGCTTGTTTCTGCTAGTTCTGCACGACACCTTCATTCTCCGCTAAAGTTTTTTCTTGTTTTGTCGTTCACCGTTGGGACTCCTGCTCTTTCTGCCATTAATCTTCCCTAACCTAGTAAGTTTCTCGATTTCCCCCATGTTTCTATGGAATTTTCTTCTGCTCTAGATTATATTTTCTGTTTCTTTTCATAAAAATGCATGTGGCTAGGGTTTTAAGTAGTTTAGTGCGGAACCCTCTGATGGTATGTTGGTGTTTAGACGATGGTTTTGCCACATGAGGGTGTCGGCTCCGCCGTGGGTTCTTCAGGAAAGTCTGGTCTTGGGGCCGACAATGGCGAGTGGTGGTGACTCCTCCAGTGAGGTTGGGTCATTTCTGGGTTTTGGATGTCATCTTCATACGTTCCTGGTGGACTTTTATGAGTGGCTTAACCCAGATTCATCAGGGAGGTCACTGCCCGCGTGGTTTGTGTTCCAGCTTGGCGTATATGCACCTGATGCGCTTTAAGAGAGATGGTCCTGGTGCCTGCTCTTAGCTGTAAAGTGAGAGCTCTGGTCGGGGTCAGTGTCCTCGTTCCTTTGAATTCCTTTTCACTTGATTAGTGGTGGAAGGGTGGATTTGATTTTTACGTTGAATTCATTTTTGTCCTTTACTTTTCAAGTATGGTGGCCAGTAGTACCGATGATAAACTCATGAGCGAGCACAGCAGTTCCGTACCAAGTTCATCTGAGCGTACGTCAACCGAGGGGAGTACTTTGGGGGCGTGTAATCTTGATCCAGCCGTACCATAGTAAGGCGCAGATGTGTAGGACGCACCTGTGGCTCCCGAGGATCCCTTGGCCTAGTTTTTACTGGGTTCTCTGGAGATTTCCTCCCACTTTGCTGAGCACCCGGATGATGTGTTTACGTCGGTGGCTTTGGGGATGGAATCAGAGGATGTCGAGGAATAATGGGCGATTTACGTTCCCGGGAAGGATCATCGCATATGCTCGAAGTTTGAT